AGCAGCACCAGGCATGGCCACATTTTATTCAAACATTGCACGGGCTATTTAAATCATAAGCATGACACTGGTGCTATAATTTAAAAACCCCACACACAATGAAAAACACATCCTGACTTCTCCATTTTAATCCTCAGTTCCATTCCACCTTTATGAATGTTCCAGAGTCAGCCTACCAACACCTAAGGTGAGATGGAAGGGATCCATAGGCTAGGGATGTAAAATCCTGTTTAACTGGTTAACCAATTAAACATAGTGCTTAATCAGTTATCTGATTGAAGGAGAGGTGGACTGCTCCAGCCCCCCCGCCCATGGCAGGGGCTGCTGCTCTGGTTGGCCAGAGCAGCCTCTGCCTGTGGTGGGCCCTCCAAGGCTGGACCTGCCCCCTGCGGGCAGGGAGTTGCTCCAGCCCCTACCAGTTAACTGGAACCAGTAAGCCTCACCTGTTAAGGATGAAGCTTCCCATTTAACCATTCACATCCCTACCATAGGCAAACTATTCTTCTTTTACCAGTCGGTGCTTTTACTACTTCTATGCTTCCTGACTCTTGCTTCCTGCAAGCATCCTCACCTGGTGTGCTTGCACCAACTGAAGTGGGGGCACTGACGGCTATGCAGGGCTCAAATTCACAGCACAGAGCCTACCAACAATGAAACTGGCAATTTCACACTGCTACAGTCTCTGCTCAGAGCAGCCACAAGCAGACAGCTCTGGGATCTCCACAGGGACCTGGGAGCCCCAAGCACTCACAGTCTGGGTTTGGAGTGGGGAGGTGGGAGGAAGCAGGGCTCGAGGTGGGGACCGGGGAGTCTAGGAAGCAGCCTGTTTGCAACAAGGAGCTCAGTGGGGCAGCTGAGCTTTAGTTGGAGTCCCCACCCCCACCCCGAGCTGTGATCTAGGTGCCGGGCTCTCAGCAGGGAACCCACCAGTCTTTCTTGTCAATATCATGGCTCTGTGCTACAGCTGTGAAACTGACATCTGCAGTTGACTAAAATTCTTGTAAGTAATGCAGCATCTACACAGACACTCTTCTCCTAACTATACTGACATAAGCCTATGCCCCCGGGGGAGGTGAGGTTATGTCATCGGTGCAGTGGGACACCAACATTAGTAGCAGCAAGGCTGCAGTGCGGACACTGACATAGTTAGACTGGCTTAAGCTGCCTTATACTGGCCTAACTCATGTAAACCAAGTCCTAATCACTTAAGCTCTGAGAAATTTTACCCTTTATCCTCTCCCTCACCAGCTGCTGGACCAATTCCGAGCACTGATGAGCAATGAGAACTTCCTTTTCAGTCAATGAATCCTGGATCCACAGTATCTATCAAAACTAGGTCCTGTGCTACTTGTAAACCATTAATAAGATAGAACTCAAGTATGTTGCCTCCTCCATTTAGTTTATGAATGACCAATACTTCTAAGCAACATTATTTGGATTTGAGTGATGGAAGCTGATTGTGAGGAAGCAAAGGGATCTCCTCTGGACATGCATCTAAAAGTGAACTACAGGAGGGGATATTTCACTTCCTATTTAAAGGCATCACTTCTCCAGTTCATTAGGCGCGTGGGAGCGTCCCATTACTGGCCTTGTATTTACAAGAGCCTGATCAGCCAAGACAACAGAACAGATTGACACCACTCCTGAAAACATGAATTAGAGAACAGGCTAGATGGGGGAAGAGTTCATAAGCACACACACAGGCACAAAAGTTGAACAGAATCTGGTTAATACTACCTAGAAGTAAACAAAGATAGACAAACTTGATAGTAAATACCCTGCTGCTAAAGTAATGTGTCCAAAAGCCTCACTTACCTCATGCATTTTTCCAGGACTTCTCTTACAAATTTGGGTTTGGGCTTTTCAAGGTCCTGAGCAAGACAGTCTGACCTATGAAAGTGTAAAATTTGATAGCATTTAGCAAGCGTGCCATTTGCTTTTTAATCTGCTCTTAAATTGGCTCAATGGGATACAAAGAGTTCACAGGTAAGACCAGGCAAGCTACAATGCTGTCTTTCCTGCTCTCTACAGGGGTCAGCTACGTAATGGCATCAGAATCTGTCTACTGCCATCATGGAGCCTTCTACAGTAAAAACTGTTTGAACTGTACTACGCAGATTGGGTAACTGTAACTTAATAGAGCACAAAGACAATATTTTGCATCCTGGCTAAATTTAAATGGTTATAAAGCTACGGCACTATGATGATTAGTGCTCTAGGGAGAGGTTAGCTACAGGTAGCTGGAGACAACCAATAGCAGCACCAATGACAGGTTCTGGAGAAATTCAAAAGTCACATGCAATATCTGGCTCAAATGGGGATCCCAACAGAAACTCACCAATCTTCCCAGCTCCAACGAAACTGAAAGTTACTCAGATGGTGGGAAAACCAGTTCATGAACCTTTTAAAGAGAGAAATATTATAGTTCCAGTAAGTATGCAACAACCCACAGAAGAAATAATTAGACAGAGAGTTTCAAGTATACTTGTCAAAGGCAGTTATTTCAATAATTGAGAAAAACATGTTCCAAGAAATGAAGAACAGAAAAAAGTCAGCAAGTCATTCCAGTGTCACTGATTCGGGTAAGGTGGTGTACTCACGTCTGGTATACCAGAGTTGATGGTAAAGCTTCATTTATAATAGAACAGAAACAGGCTAAGTTCAGCAAAGTTTAGCTTCTTTGCTTTAGGTACTCATGTTTAGTGGGATATTTTCAACACTGCATAAGGGACTCAAGATTTCCACTGTAAATAGGTGAGACTTGTTTTCCCACGTCCCCTAAGCACTTTTGAAATTCACCCTTCTTCATAGCCGCCCCCCCCCTCCCCCCATCAATACATGCTGACCATCAGACTAACTGAAGCCAACTTTGACAAATGTGTAAGTCTATCTACAGAGGTATCTGGTCATATATTCATCTAAAAGTGCAACAAGCAATTTCAAAAGGGGAGTACTCGATTTCTTTTTTTCATTCTAGTCACAATTTTATCAGATAAAACATGATTCAGGCATGCAGAAGAGTTTCACTTATTTGGCAGATAACTGTCTTTACACAGTCCTTTGTAAGGTACAAGCTGCCCTCCCAACTACTGGAAGCCACCGATAAATCAGCTCACAAATTAAGTTCTCAGAGCAATTACTAGATTGCAACAAATTTTACTATGGCTCCAAATGGAACAACTGCAGAATTCTTCCAGGATTAATGTAACATTTAAAAAAATTCACCTGAAGTCCATGAAGTACAAACAAGGAAGAATGAAAAGTGGCAATTCTGCAGTTTTAGGTGACTACCTAAGCTTCCCCCCAAAATGACGACAAAACTTTGTTATTTGGTTACAGGGGCTCCAACTTAGTGGTCTGTAAGGCACCTCTGGGGTGTAAACTCAGCATGTATGTTCTCAGATGCCAAACGTGAAGGCCTTGTCTACACTTGCAGTGGAGTGTAGGATGCACGTGGCATGGGAAGGCTCAGGCCTTGGGAAGACAGTGAGGAAAGGTGCCAGCAGCAGAACACTCCATTGCTTAGGAATATAGAGAGCTATGCATAGAATCATAGAATCCCAGAGCTGGAAGAGACCTCAGAAGGTCAAGTCCAGGCCCCTGCCCAGGGCAGGACCAATCCCAACTCAATCAACCCAGCCAGGGCTTTGTCAAGTCGACACTTAAACCCCTCTAGGGATGGAGATTCTACCACTTTCCTAGGGAACCCAGCCCAGCGCTTCCCCACCCTCCTGGTGAAATAGTTTTTCCTAATATCCAACCTAGACCTCTCTCACTATAACCTGAGACCATTGCTCCTTGTTCTGCCCTCTGTTACTACAGCCTCTCTCCAGCCTCTTTGGAACCTCCCTTCAGGAAGTTGAAGGCTGCTCTCAAATCCCCTCTCACTCTTCGCTTCTGCAGACTAAACAGACCCAAGTCCCTCAGCCTCTCCGCATAGGTAATGTGCTCCAGCCCCCTAATCATTTTGGTCGCCCTCCGCTGGACCCTCTCCAATGCGTCCACATCCTTCCTGTAGTTGGGGGCAAAGAACTGAACACAATACTCCAGATGTGGCCTCACCAGAGCCGAATAAAGGGGAATAATCACTTCTCTGGATCTACTGGCAATGCTCCTCTTAATGCACCCTAATATGCCATTAGCCTTCTTGGCTACAGGGGCGCACTGTTGACTCATATCCAGCTTCTTGTCCACTGTAATCCACAGGTCCTTTTCTGCAGAACTTAGCCATTCGGTCCCAGCCTGTAACAATGCTTGGGATTCTTCCGTCCCAAGTGCAGGACTCTACACTTGTCCTTGTTGAACCTCATCAGATTTCTTTTAGCCCAATCCTCCAATTTGTCTAGGTCACTCTGGACCCTATCCCTGACCTCCAGCATATCTACCCAAAATTCTCCAAAATCTTCCCGGATTGTTTGTGTCCTGCTGTATTGGTCTCCCAACAGATGTCAGGTCCCTCATGAGAACCAGGACCTATAATCTGGAAGCTTCTCTCAGTTGTCTGAAGAAAGCCTCATCTACCTCATCCACCTGATCTGGCAGCCTGTAGCAGACACCAACCACAACATCACTGCTGTTGTTTGCACCTCTAAACGTAACCCTTAGACTCTCAACAGGTTTTTCTCCCTGGCTACGTCTAGACTGGCATGATTTTCTGCAAATGCTTTTAACGGAAAAGTTTTTCATTTAAAAGCATTTACAGAAAAGAATGTCTAGATTGGCACGGACGCTTTTCCGCAACAGCACTTTTTACGGAAAAGCGTCTGTGCCAATCTAGACGCGGTTTTGCGCAAGAAAGCCCCGATCGCCATTTTCGCCATTGGGGCTTTTTTGAGCAAAACAGTTTTTAGCTGTCTACACTGGCCCTCTTGCGCAAAAACATTTCCGGAAAAGGGCTTTTGCCTGAACGGGAACGTCAAATCATTTGCGCAAGAAGCACTGATTTCGGACAGTAGAACGTCAGTGCTTTTGCGAAAATCAAGTGGCCAGTGTAGACAGCTGGCAAGTTTTTGCGCAAAAGCAAGTGCTTTTGTGGAAAAACTTGCCAGTCTAGACGCAGCCTCTGTGTATACTGGAGTTCTGAGCAATCATAATGCTCTATTACATACAGTGCAACTCCTCCTCCTTTTCTCCCCTGCCTGTTCTTCTTATACCCTCCCATGACAGTGCTCCAGTCATGCGAGTCATCCCACCAAGACTCCGTTACCCCAATCAAATCTTAGTTCTTGGACTGGGCCAAAGGCCTCTGCTCGTCCCTCTTTGCATTTCTTCGCAGTATCCGACTTTCCCACTCACCTCAGAGCTTTGGTCACCGCCCCCCAATGAACTAGTTCAAAGCCCTCCTCACTAGTTTTTCAAGCCTGCTCGCGAAGATGCTCCTTCTTCACTTGGTTAGGTGGATCCCAACTCTTCCCAACAATCCTTGTGCCCAGAAGACAGTCCCATGGTCAAAGAAACCAAAGACCTCTCTTCGACACCACTTGTGCAACCACGCATTCACTTCCTCAATGCGATGATCCCTACCCAGACCTTTCCCTTCAACAGGGAGGATGGACGAGACCACCACTTGCAATTCGAATTCTTTGATCCTTGTTTCCAGCGCTACATAATCTGCAGTAACCCGCTCAAGGTCATGCAGAGTGTGTGTGCTACTGTTCTGTACTCTGCATGCTTAAGCAGTGCTTTGCTGCCTACATGGCTAGTTATACCTATGCTGGGGAGGGGACATGCAGTGTCTGCACTCTGCATGCCACCATAAGTGAGGACACACCTTAGTTTTAGCAAGAGCCATTTTAGACTGAGACAGAATAGAGAGCCTCGTGCTCGGTCAGATTCACCACACCGGTCCCAACAGATCTATTTATTAACAAACAGAGATCGCTCATTGCAAATATGCAGATTGCACCTTTATCATTTTCTCCACAGCATTTTCAATTCCTACAATGTATTTCACAAGCTTTATGTAACCCTCAGAACAATGAGCTGTCCTCCTTTGGCCTGTTCTCCCCTTGTACACCAACTCTCCACCTCCCCCCTCAGACCACAGCATGGAAGTGGAGCCAGGTATGGACTGGGCTCATACCTGCACCATGCCATTAGGCAAAGCACTGATCTGGAGGGCAGCGTAAGGCACCTGTCCTTCTGAGCATAGGGAGAAGGATCTCTGTAGATAGCAGAGAAAGGCAAGTGCTAAGTAGACACCCATCCTTCAGTTTAGAAAGCTCAAGATTTACCTTTTTTTTTTTTTTTTTTAAATGGAGACTATAGAGACGGTAGGAAGAATTTCATGTGAACCACTTTAAATCCATCAATGTACAAAGAGGAAAATAGCCTGAAATGCACAAGCACTTACCTGTCTATGCATGTAGTGTTCATTGTATCCAAACGCATGTACAGCATTTCTGTGGCTTGAGCAAGCTACAAGTGTCTCATTAAGGCAAAGAGAAGTCTGATAAATTAGAGCTTCTATTAGCTCTTTCCACTTTCCTAGGAGTGTCTGCAGAAAGGGGATTTCCCTCCGCTCCCCATAACATCTCACTTTCTAACTATCCCAAGCCAGGCACGTCCTGGTAATTTCACAGAAAAAAGGGAAACTGCAGTTTGCCCAGACAGACAGACTCTCCTCTCTGCTCTACTGTAGAGTACTTGTCTTTCATACAGTTACCACTGTTATGTTAGTCAGAATTTCCGGTAGAAGACAACAGCATATCTAGTTACACTTCTGTCCATCCAGCTTATTATAGAGACCCAAATTTCAATGATTACAGCGCTTTGGCTTCTGAAAAGAGAGTGCTTTTGGGAGAGGATGCAGTCTAACACTCCAAAGAACTGATTAAGTAGCAACAAGAACAAACCACCTTCACTTATTTTTATCTTTATTTCTCTAAATACTTCACTTTGTTTTGCCATATTGTTAGAGCCCTGCAAATCCAGATATCTACAGGTTTCCATGTCCACAGATATGAATATGCATGGCTCATTTTTGTGGCTACAGATACAAAATTTATACCTGGTACCTTGCAAATTTGCAAATATCTGCTTTATCTGCAGATCATTTTTGCAGATAGATTCTATACATTGTTTGCTAACCCTAATGCTGAAAAGGTTTTGGGGGAAGAATTTAAACAGAAGGCAGATCAAAATTAGATAACAAGTCATCCATGATTCTTAACTGCTAATATTTTAAAAACTATGGGATGATATACCTCCCCCACTATGATGCAACAAGAAAACTGCAGAAGCTATGTTAGTGACAAACTTAGTGCATGAATTTATATGCTAAAATCCATTAATCTGGGACGAGTTAGAAACAGTCTGAAAATGTTTACCCATCAATTTCACATTTTATTGCAACATTAATTTTCTAGAAGCCAGAATGAGCATTTTAAAGCTGGTTCCTTTCAGAATAGGACACTACTGAGATACTATAAATCTGCCAAAGACTTCATTCTATATTTCAGGGACTTTATCTGAGTTGTAAAACACAAACTTTGATAGGATCTGAAACTTTATATTTCAGAAGTCTTAAACCATAAAGACTTTAAGGTATTTGCACTATTTAAGTGACGTCCTTGTCTCTCGCAGGACAAAGTTCTCTCCCAGAGCCTTTACAGGTAAATAAGGAGAATACAGGCAGTCCCCGAGTTACGCGGATCCGACTTATGTCGGATCCGCAGTTATGAACGGGGCTTTTCTCGCCCCAGAGGACAGGAGCGGCGGGACGCCCAGATGCGCCACGGTCCTGCCACCCACGTCCTACAGGGTGAGAAAAGCTGCTCCGCATCTCCCTGGTCTGCTGGTGGGGGAACCGCCCCCCAGCAGACCAGGGAGACACGGAGCAAAGCCGCGGAGGACCCGGGCGGCAGGACCGCAGTGCGTCTCGGTCCGCCGCCTGCGTCTCCCTGGTCTGCTGGGGAGGGGCGCAGCTAGTGCACCCCCCCCCCCCCCCGCAGACCAGGCTTTTCTCACCAACGCCTGGGGCAGCGCAGCTGGGGG